CGTGGGTGAAGGAAGCTACAGTACACCACTTTTGACAATCAATTTATTATGCAAGCACGTTTACCTTAGCAAGTTTAGGGTGGGGGGGCACGTTGCTCCATCATATTCGATATGTTGATGTTGATGTTTGTTTTGCGCAAGGGGCTGAAGCTGAAAGAAACATTCCTGCTTGCCCCCTTGGTGAGTTTTCGAGGCAAAAACAGATCGTTTTGCGGCTCCGAAAATGCACGGTGATGAATGATGCTGCTCGGAGTCTCTCGTGAGAGCTGCTTCCACCCAAATTGCACACTGTTTTAATGCGTTTATCAGGAGTTTTTGCACGGTTTGGGAATGCCCTATTTCATCCTATTCCTGCACCAAGATTAATTGTGAGCGCAACGAGAATTCATTATTTACCGTAATTACATCCGTGTTTGTTGGCAATCGAGATTTCGTTGCTAGAAAGTCGTGAAGGATAAATTGGAGAGAAAACCGTATTCTTGTACAGGGGCTTTGTTTTCCACAAAGAACGTTTCACTACACAGTGTCACTGCACATGCTTTGAGTTTTTGAATAGTCTTCTCGCTCTGACCAAAGCGGCTGCAATTTGGGCGGTTCCTCCTCACTTGGTTTCAAACATGCTGCTTTAATCCCACAAAAGCTGTGGAGCTATCAACCTCAAGAGCATTTGAGTAGGAGAAACATCAATGCGCTGCAAATGATGCTGACATTTTCCGGGGCCCTCCCGCAACAGTCCAGTCCCAAACACTTACATCACATATTCATAATATATATATACACATGTATTTATATGTATGTATAACATATCAGTAACTGCAACTATTGAAATAGTATGACATATTCAATATCTGACGCACTGTGTGACAGTGTGCCCCCAAAAAATGTGATGGTTCTTGTCTGGACATCGCAGCTTGGCTCTCCATGCCTGACGAAGAAGCTCGCAGCCCAGGAAACTCTGAGCCATCTCGTTGAAGCAACGCATCCCGTTTTTTGTCAAATTTGACATCATGTATAGTCCTTAGAAGAAACTTGACAGCTGCTAATTACATCTGACACTCCCGCATTCGCTGCATTGATGTCTATGCAAACTTGTTTGAACATGGTTGAACGCATTCGAACATGTTTTTTGTGCTCTGCTCATAACTGAGGTCTTGTGCAGCTTGTAGATGGGCTCAGCCTGCCCAGGCAAAGAGAAAATGCATCAGATGCATCTAGCGCACAGACTGGGTCAGGGGTAAGGAAATCAAGTCCAAAATGCAAACATTCGTGTCGCTGGAACTTTCATGCAGACTAGCGTAGGCAATGTGCCGAATAAACCAATCATGACGTTTAGAACCGTTTACATGTTTGTCTCCTTAGCTATTAACTGTATATACATATACTGTACATGATATATATTACATGTATATTACATGTATATTACATGTACATTACATGTATATTAATGTATATTACATGTATATTGTATACACATATTACGTATATTATCATGAAACATATATATATACAGTACATTGTATGTGTGTGTTTGTTTTTATCATGAGATTGGAGCTTGAAACGCTTGAAGTCTCTCGACTTTACCAGGCCTTCTTGGCCAGGAGCTCCTTGAATGCTTCAGTCGGTGGCCTTACCAGGACCTTTCCAACACCATGTTTCACTCAATGCGACGCCGCAATGCCACAAGATTTCTCTGCATGACCAATGCCAATCAATTGAAGTTTGTATGTCGCCATTAGTGGCGATTAGTTGCACGTATCTCCATGTCAAGCTCTCCAGAAAAATGTGAAAAGAAAGCACAAATGTCAGATTCAACACATTCAACGGAGTCTCAGAGCTTGCATCAGCTGAAGCAGCTTTGGCATATGAAGGCCTTATAATACACATGCTCTATAATGCTCTAACGATATGTTGTACTGTAGCGATATTTTGTAGCAATATTTTGTCGCAATATTTTGTCGCAATATATCGTAATATGTTGTAATGACATCTGCGGCATTGTCCCCCTCTCTGCCACCGCCTTCTCATATGGCATGTGAAGGTGTGGCCCTGGCAAGCCATATTCTGCGGTGGGCTTCTTGGCTCGTTGCCACACATCTTTGATCACGCGGTTGTCCTCAAATTTCCAATGGTCATGGATCGATGGTCATGGCACATCATGGCACATCATGGCACATGGTTAAGTAAACTCAAGATTTGAAAATACTTCAAATATGTCCGACTTTGCTTTGTGTTCACAAGAAGGTGCGACTGACCCCATCAAGCCTGTACCAGCTGTCCAAAAAGCAAATGCAACCTTACCAAGAGTGCTGCAAATTACAGTAAAGCTGTCCCGGTGAGACACGATGTGAAGAACGCCAAAAGAATGTCATGCCACTGGCTGCTTGTATCTGGGCGATTCAACCCCTAGCCCTAGCAAACATCGGACAAAAATCTCTGTGTAGCAATTGCGTTCAACATAACATAGGCCATTCACAAATCTTGAGAACCAACTGAAGTAAATTCAAACTTAGAACCCCGCTGCTTGTGACCTCGCTGGTCAGTTGTACACGAGACTGGTAGTGCATATGGCATCATATGGCATATGACTAAATGTAATATGATGTAATGATATACATATGTATATATATATACATATTTAACGACTACAGTAAATGTTCGTGATTGCGACCCAAGGTTTCAGTGTCGCAAAAGTCCCAAACCCAATGCGAGACATGCATGTACAAATTCCCATCGTGCGAGACATGCCAAGACATGAGACATGCCACCAGAAGTACTCCAGGTCCGGGCGCTGTTGGTGTTGCCAGTGCAAGTGAACACGTTCCTGCCAAGCCTCCACCAAAGGGTGATGAGGTTTGCTTGCCAAAAAGCTGCTCCTCAGTTTCAGAGCAAAAAGATCAAGACTGCAGGGACTCCAAAGACTCTATCGGACTCTATCGCACAGGACTTCACAATACACTTCACAAATTCTTCACAATGCACTTCATTCTCTGGGTCTGTCATAGTATTTCTAGGTGCTCTTGTTGCCCTGCTGCATGTATTCCTTGAGGCAAGTTCACTGGTGGCACAACTGGTGCCAATGCGTCGTCTGCATAGTCATGGATTGGATACAAGTATGATTGGAGTAAAGGCTGCCAGGCTTCATGATGGGGATTTCAGCTCCTGCAGTGCCAACAAGTTGCAAACGAATTGTCTGCTAGTCGCCTTTGTCAATTCAAAACAATATGTTCTTCGAAAAAAGAACAAGCGAGCATCCTAAGCATCTCGTCTAGCTGCAATCTAGCTCCTTTCTCTGGGGCAAATGCAAAAAATCCATCGGCAGAAGCAGCTGCATCATCAATCCACTCGTCCAGAGGTTTCCGACACAGGATGGTTGCATCAGCCCAAACACCTCGCTATGCTTCGCAGCACAATTTAGCATATTGAGCCCGACTGGCTCTTGGCCCAACAAGATCCAACATGATCCAACAAGTTTAAGACAAGGTTGATGATGTTGATGAAACAAGACCTGAAACATTCATTTACAGATCCTTTACCCTCCAAAAATCCTCTGAGGTTCATTCTGTTCATTTGATCGAAACATGAGAATCTGTAATCTGTTGTCCAACTTTGCCCTCCCATGTCAGCGACGCCTCCGTATCGTTGCAACAAAAAGAGTCGCAGGACATCCGCTGCAGATGCAGGCGGAATCCACGACATTCCCAGAGGTGCCAGCGGATTATTGGCCTTCCGTGTCCACTGGGGCACAAAAGATCAAAAAAGGAGGCCACGGTGCACATCAAGACACCCTATTTCAATAATTATATGTTTACTCTCACGATCCCTCAGGAATTGAGAAGTTAAAGTAATATGAAAAGCAGGTCACAGGGAGTGCTTCTAAGTGAAGAAATGCACTTGGAGAAACAGTGGAGACAGAGTGCTGGAGTGATGAAGGACTGAGGACCACTGAAAGGAGGACCAGCATACCCTGCAAACCCGTGCACAAGGTCACTGATTCAGTGTTACAGGAAGCTACTAAGCTACCAGTAGAGTTGATGTTTATATACACATTCCCGCATTCCCCTATTTGAAATGCATCCGTCTGCTGGACATCTTGTCTTTGCACGGCTCAGAAACATTTAAGTTGATTGGGGTGTGATGATTTGGGGCTCTGCCAATCTACATCAATCTACATCAATCTGCCGTCTCTTTTGCGCCTTGCACACGGCAGTGAACTGCTTGCAATAGTCGCCTAGAACATCTGGCAAAATCTTTTCATCAAGTGCGCGAACTTCCCATCCAGGGTTCCAAAGCTCAAATGACTTCCTGCGATCAGATCAGGGCAATGTTGCTTGTCAAGGGCAATCCGCTTCACTTGACACAAAAACTTCAAAGCATGAAAAACCTTCACAGCCAGGACATCAGTACATACCTAAAAAATCCTATAACATCCTATATATATATATAAATACCATTATATACCTCAAAATAGGACACCCTTTTCACTGCCTCACCAGGTCAACTTGCTGCCATGGCTCTTACAATTTCTGCAAACATACGGAGCACGATCCCAACCCTGGAACCAAAGCATCCAAATGATGCGAGGAATCTGCGGAGCTGACAGCGGAGCTGACTGCGGAGCTGAACCGCTTGAACCGGTCTTTGCCAAATGTGCAGCTTGGACCGCTTGGACATCTCCACTCCTGTAGCCGCCGGCACTGTGGCTCGACATGGCAGACATGGATCATGTGCTGTCTTCTCCGAATACGGTGTAGATTGTGTAGTACTAATTATAGATCTAATTAGTACTATAGGTCGCGTGAGGGACTTGAGCGGATGTTTGCCGCCTAACGTTGCATCTTTAAACAGTAAAGAACTTGTGTTCTTCCGTGAGGTTGTCTTCCTTGGCTGGCTGCTGTTTTGACACAGGGTCAACCTAATCATTCTATGTAGTTTGAAGTCAACTTGTGATATTTGTATCGAGCAAGCATGCTGCTCATATCTGCACTTGCCAGCATATACTC